TGACTTATAGGCCAAAGCGACGTATTTATGGATTTTTTTCCCATTTTTATAAACCATTTTTTGGCTGCGATACGACCGTTTTCATTCATTCTGACTGGAAAAAAAACAAAAAAAAAACAGTACCACTTTCAGCCACTTGATGGCAGCATAGTAGTAGTAGCATTATGGCATGCCGTTGTATCATATAATAGGTAAATGTGGCTATAATGGCAAATTCAAAGTTCCTCCTCCCTTTTTTCTTCCTCTGTGTGTTCACGGAGCACCGAGGCAGCAAAACCATTTTTGAAATTCAGCTGATTTGACCATTAAAGTGCATTTATTAAGCAAACATTAGACTGAGACACACTTATGCTATAATTTTGAGCAAACAAACAATTGTTTAGGTGTTTATCTTGTTAAATTTGCACAGCGACTCGTCGCGTGCACGCGTTTATTTCCGCGTATCCGCTTTTGAAATACAGCTGATTTGACCGTCAAAGTGCATTTATTAAGCAAACGTTAGACTGAGACACAAATTTAATGTAATTTTCATCAAACAAATACTTGTTTTTAGGTTTTGATCTTGTTAAATTCTTGTTAAAGTCCTCCCGTGCACGCTCCCACAGCCGCCATTTGGCAGCCCATTGATTTTTGGCACAACGCCGGCCCACATTTCCGGGTAGTTAGCGGTGAAGAGTAACACGTGACGCGTCAGTGGTGACACATAATAGTTGGAACGTATTTATGGATTTTTCCACTTTATTAGACAAATATGGACTGATGCGACTTATTGGGCAGTGCGACGTGTACGGCGGAAAATACGGTAAATAAAATCAGGAATGGGTTGAGTTCACGTCAAGTAAATATTTGAAACAGATGGCAAAGCAAGCCTCATCAATCTTTGTTGACACTACCCCTCTTTAAAACTGCTCTTATTTAGGATATTTGCAATTATAATTCATACTTTAAGCTCATTTGAATATCAAATTAATTACTGAACACAATGGAGTAAATACCCCTTTTATAAGTCCTTGTTAAAAGTGAAAAGTTCTTGACTATGGTTGGATGGTGCGGTAATTTACAGTGATATCTAATCCCAAGTTGCTTCACATAAAAGGCATTACTATACATATTTTAATAGGGAGGTGGTTGTTTTCCAAGCAATTTTCTGCTAGAGTACATTTTTAATTTATTCATATTTAATTTATTGGTCTCTGCATACTCGCTCAGTAAAACTAATCAACAGCATGTATGGCCCCTCTTAAAGGCACGTCTGTGTTTGGCAGGCAGACAGGCAGCCTCTGCATTAGGATAAGCTCTCCTCACTTATGCACAGAGTTGGGTGAAATGCCCCACATTCAGTCAAGCAGGAGGATGCCACCTCCAAGGAGACTCTTCAGTTCCCACAACCTTTTAATCAAAAAGAAAAAAGGGGCGGAAAATGAAAAATGTGCCCAGCCTTGAATGATCCAAAACACTGCAGTTTCTGTGCATAGTGACTGCTGCTGCTGCTGCTGTCAGAATGCAGTTCACTGGGGACAACGCTTTCCCCCTTTTTCCACTACTCCTTGCCCTCATACTCATCTGCCCTTGAATTGGTTTTATGGAGGTTTGGCAGTCATTTAGCACAGTATGACCAGAGTTCTTATCACCTGACTCCACTCCAAACCGACCCGCTGACACACACCTTAAAGGAGGGATCTGCACAACCTTACACATGGAAATGATTTCAATTAATTACCATTTCCCTTTTGACAAAGCAGACAGGAGGTGGGTTTATCAAGTGTGGACAACAGGAGCATTTCTCTGGAGTAATGTGCACGGCGTTTAACAAGAAGCAGAAAGGTCATTTGACACATTTCTGCCAAAATGAATA